ATAGCAATTCAGCAGTTCAGCATAGTGAAGGTTATATGGCGGTTGACGGCATAAAGCACACATTAAAAGAAACGAAAACCAATATGCCAAAATATTGTTGTGTTTTTGGCTGTCGAAATAAGGCAGACAAAGAAAAAAACCTTACAACTCAATCAACTGTCAAACATGACGGCCATCTTGCATTCTTCAGTACTCCCATCTTCCCCCTCCATGACGACTTATGTACATAGATTTTGTAGCCAGCCGTACATAAGAAGCTAGCGGTCTAGTATACTATAGAAGTCTGTGTGCTGAACTGCTGAATTGCTATCTGCGCATGCATCGTCGCGCACGTACATAAGTATATAGNCAATGATTGGATGAACTCTCCTTATCGTCAAAATCAACCAATGAAACCCGCATTCCACAGTACCCCCATTGTACATAGATTTTGTAGCCATTATCTACGCTGAAATCACGCGAGCTAGCGGTCTAGTGTAGTATATAGAAATCTGTGGATATTTACTGCCAGTACTGAAAATCTGTAGCACACATATATGTAATACTCCTATATTGCTAGTACGGTGCCGACCTGAAGCTCACCGTTACGGTGCAGACAATATAGTAGCCTCTCTNTCCAGCTGCTTTGTGCGCATGCGGTGAACATTCAAGCACGCTTGCGCATTTCTCTTTCTCGCGTTTTTTCTCTCACTTTCTAATGCTTTGTCTCGCTCGCACTCACTTGGTAGATGCGCCTGCGCATAATGACGCTCGACCATCTATACCCATATTTGGACTTTGTGCGTCTCCCTTTCTCGGGCCTCGTGTTTCTCATTGCGAAGATACGCGACTAGCAATATAGGAGTATTACATATATGGTAGCACATGTGACGTGAAGTATAACCTCGAAAGTTTTATAAGATATTGTTTTGTGCTCGCAAAAATCGCTCTGACGGTTGACAGGCACGTTAATAAGACTTCATAAAAAAAAAATAAGATATTGTTTACCGTCTATTTGTAGTATGAAAATTCCGTTGCGGTAATAAAAATAAAGTAAAATCAGTGCAAAATGGTGAGGTATTATTATGTCTAAAACAAGAAATAAGCTTAAAATAAGGATCTTTGCATAAGTAAGTTATAAGCATAAACAAACTTCAACGTAGGATATTTTGTCTCTGGAATTTGCTTATCTTAACAATAATTTTTTTTCAAGATTTCTAAAAAATCTAGAGATCTGTCTGAAATGTAAACAGTTTTGCGATTTGAGAGAAGTTGATGATGTATGCAATTTTGCCATGTTTGCGCATTAACGATTATTAAACACTTCTCCTACTTTTTCTTGGAGAACCAATAAGCGTTTATCTTCTATCCTTTAGTGTTGGGTCAAGTCCCGCTTATGGGGAACTAGCCATATAGAAGTATTACAGGGTGCTTTCCAGCTACGTACACAGGCGACATTGTGTAACACAGTGTCCACTAGTGTGAGAAAGAGTATATCAGTGTGTCTCACTCATACTAGTGGACACTGTGTTACACAGCATCGCTTGTGTACGTAGCTGGAAAGCGCTCACTGTGTAATGGCTAGTCTACAATGAAGGTTGTAAGGCTGTAGGAGTAGAGAGTAAACTATTTTTCGGTGAAGAAACAACGGGAATTACGAAATGGGTAATTCCCATTTTGCACTGTTTACTGCCTTACTGTTAGCCAATGAAAGACGTGTGTTAAAAAACGCGAAATAATTACTTGTATAGACAAAAATAAAAGAACTCCAAGAACCTTACTTCTTACTCTATACTGCCTACTCCCTCAATGTAGACTAGCCATAACACAGTATCCACTAGTGTGAGTGAAACACACTGGCTGTTTTCCTTTTAAAAGACACAAATCGACACAGATAATAGAATTAAATCAATCTTTCTGTGGATAACACACTCGAGCACCATTTGACTCTCCTGAGAAGAGTCAAAGAGTGTCGATTGAGAGGTCGATCACAATTATAAATAAAAAGCGACGTGTGGCGGGTGTGTCAACTGTGTTTTCTAAAAAGAAAGCAGCGACTGATATGTTCTTTCTCACACTAATGAACATTGTGTTACATGTCGCTTGCGTACGTAACTGGAAAGCACCCAATATGTATATATGCAAGATAACATGTAAAGTAAATTGCGAGATAACGCAACGCAATGCTCGATATAACAATAATCGGCAGTATATGCGAAGATTATATACAGGATGATTCAGAGCAATTCGTCCTTGAAAATACATATTCTTGACTAAATTCTAAGACAACTTTTTATTTGACAAAATTTTGTCTGAAGCTTACTTTTTGAGTTATTAATAAAAATAGGTGACTTACCACGAGTCGGATATAAGAGGTAGGCAGGGGCGGCGTAACTCACCGTAATTGACAGTGATTTATGTGATGCACAGATTAAGTGATACAAATTACAAATGAATAAATAAATAAGTGAAAGAAAGAGAGAAACAGAGAAAGATACAGATACAGTGTGTAGCAATCAGCTGATTGCGTCAGGCACCATACGTAATCGCCCGCGTCTGATGGTGAGGTGCGCCATCCCTGCCTACCTCTTAGATTTGTTCGCGTCGCATGCCTCATTATGCTTCTACTCGCTCCAACGCGCTTTCTTTCAATGAAACTTAAAAATTTTTTTAATAAAAACAAGTCGCACTAAGTGCGCACTAGTCCAGACTACTGATATCGCTATTAGAGCTTTGGAGCGAGTATGTTGGAGCATGTGACGCGAACAAACCTCTTGTATCCGACTTGTGGTAAGTCACCTATTTTTATTAATAATTCAAAAAGTAAGCTTCAGAAAAATTTTGCCAAATAAAAAGTTGTCTTAGAATTTAGTCAAGAATATGTATTTTCAAGGATAACGGGTTGTTCTGAATCACCCTGTATATGCACAGTACAATTGTAAAAATAAACAGTAATCACATTTGTTCGTAATTCAAAAGAAGCACAAATATACTTAAAATATACTTAAAATATATAAGCGTGTAAATTAATCGTAAAGAAGAGTATATATAAATGTACATATAAAAAAATCTTTCACGGTACATCTCATCTAACAGTGTAGTTCGGAGTCGGTGCATTGACTGTTCCCCAGAAAAGAATTAATTTTGTTTGTTTGTGCCTGATGAAAAAGAGAAAAGGTCGATTGGCTATCAGCTTTTTTTGACTACCGTCTCGCTGCAGGATCACCCCAGTCGTCGCTGCGGCCTCTGTTCCTTTCTCTGTTACATCCATTTCTACCTTGTGTAGCACTTCATGTGCGAACAGACCTGGATTCACGAGATTTCCGCTGTTACGAAGCTTGTCCAGATCATACGATACGAAATTCTGACTCCGCACGAATCTCAAGAAACTCTCATCTATCGGTCGGCTCTGGCGTCTACTTCTGTTTTTCGTGTTTTTCTTAGCATTGTGAAAACGATATTTATTCTCATCTAAACTCACGTATTTTGTATTGCCATTGTTAATTTTTAGCGTATTTTTCTTAGGATCCTCGTTCTCCGTGACATACAACGTTTGCGATGATTTACTGTCGTTCTCTCTTCTGCTCACAACGTCACGGCGAGTTCTACAAATGTTGCGAATGTGAAATCCTGTACTCCACTGTTCTACGTTAAAACAGCGTTTTGTATCGTCGTACCTGATGAAATAATTTTTTCTTACACCATGGTTATCCTCGCCGATCCGTGGGAAAATTAGAAATTGTTCAGATTTGCTGCTCGGCACTTGTTGCGAAGAAACCAGCGGTAGTGCTTGCGGTATCGTTTGCGGAATCGGCGATGGTGATGCTATTGGTACCGGCTGTGACGTAGTGAATGAAGTCGTCCTTGTTACCGGAGCTTGACCATATCCACTCGACAAAAGACTCAAATCCGCAGTTTTTGGATCGAACAATGAGATTAAACCTAAACTTTGAAGAGCTTGATTTAAATTCAATGTGCTTGAAAGTTTCATACGAGGTAAGCCAACGATGCAAGTTTGATTTTTGAGATTGCTTATCAAGTTTTCAATTATTTCAGCTGACAATTGATCGCGGAAGTTTTTTAAAGCAGTAGCTCCTTCGGTTTTCGGCAGAAGCACATACATTGACATCTGATAAAAATAGAAAATAATGCTTAAAAATTATTTTTTAAAGGAAATATTTCATATGCAAGATTTTTAAAAAATCTTTACAAAAACACATTAAATTATTTAAAGTATCAAATAAGAACAATGATATAATTTATATATTTACCTCTAAACCTTTATATGGTAAAGCTAGTATTTTTACTGTTTTATCTTCGTAAAAAGGAAAGTCACCACCGTTGAACATCATATCAACTTTAACTGCGTCATTCGGCTCGACAAAAAAGTCTCTTCTATAATAAAAATTATCTCAATGAAAATAAAGTTACATTTTATTGCAATACAATAAATAAAATATTTTATATATGTATGTATACCTCTGTGTTTGACCATTTATAAAATGCTGATTCCATTCTCCTTTGAAATATAGCGCCGATAAGAGAATTACGCTGGTCAGTGGAGTTGGTGCTTGATCCAATATACTTTCGATCTTTCCCATTGTCCGTTGTTTAACCCAATTGTTTATAATATTTTGAGCTTCCCTGCCTTTTTTTTGAAAATCTAGATTTACTACTTCACTCTTATACACATTTTCACTTATCGCACCGAATTCGGGGCGAATCGGATATCCTTCCTAAAATATAAATTAAAATTCACGCGTGTTAATGCTACTGGAAAAATTTTCTTAGAATTAATTCAAAGTAAACGTTCTGTGTCCAAAATAAAATGTGTGTTCATTAACTTCAGAATTCTTATTTTATAAGTTTTTAAAATATTCTTGTTTGAAAAATCTATTAAAAATTTAACAAATATGACACACCGACGTAAGTCAAATATAAATTCACCTGAACAAAGATGCCGCTAGCAGAATTAACGCGTGGCATATTGCTGCCTTCGATTCTGTGATTCATGGTAGCCAGTAGCTGGCCAAACATTTGATGAACAATTTCAGAATGTTGAGATATGTCGACACTAACTTCTAGACCGAGCACACGTGAAACTTCTTCGAAAGTTTTACCAGCTGAACCCAGTAAAACCAACGACAGAGCAACGCTTATACTAAGCGGAGAGAAGAGTACGTTTTCTCTTCGACTATTCACGCCTCTGGTGTTGTAAATCGCTTTGTCCATGTCCAAAGAGAATTTTACAATTCCCTTAGCTATGAGATCATTCACCTAAAATCAACAATAATAATGATATTTATTTATATAGATTATAAAGATGGTTTACGCGTTGCAAGTTGTTGTTTATTATGCATTTTCGAATAAAACGCCATTAACAGTAGCATACATGCTGGTTCCAATTTGTTTGCTCAGATTGCAGACTATTTGGCGATCCTACAGGTGCTGCTTGTGCCACTGATGGTGTTTGTGCTATTGGTCTTGCGGTATCAGCGAATTCCGGAGTGCCTTGAGCAGGCTGGCTATTGCTGGCCGTTTGTGTGGAATAACCAGGAAACGATCCTGAAGCTCGTACAGCATTGGTGTAAGCGTAAGGTCTAGTCGTCGAGTTTTTCATCATTTCATACTGGTCCGGAAAAATAATCTGACTGCTGGTCACTGCTACAAGGCCGAATAGGAGCAATATTTGCGTCATTTTTTCAGATATCTGCAAAGAATCATAAAGCTGCTGCGGTTACTGTTTCGTGACCATGAATACATACATTCTGCATTCATCGAAAACAATTAACAATGGAAGCGCGTAAACATAATAATATCTAATGACGCGGTTTATGTAATTATTCGTACATATATATAAACAAGTGACACAAACACTGCATTCTAAGAAAGATATTTTATTTTGTTTTTGTAGTTGCGATATAACGACATTTCATGCTTTTGCTTCGGATCTCCAATAAGCAAATTGAAAATATAGCAAAAATATATGGCATCATAAACTTACAAAAACTTTCACAATAATTGCACTAAGATGATTCGCCATAACGCAACAGTTTTGTCAGAATAGTTTTGTAAATAATATTTGTCAAAAATTAAAAAAGTCCAATTTAGAGTATAAATATTTTATAATATTTCAATTCTTTAATGCATAAACTTGTACAATTCAATATTTGTGACAATGTAATGCAGCAAAACCATTTTGCAATATTTGCAACATTTTCGGATAAAATATTTATATTCTACTTAATAAATTAATTTAATTTTTATTAATTAATAATAGTGATGAAGAATCTCACCTTTCACGATCTCGGAACTCTGAGGTCAAGACGTGATAAAAAATCGCGCGTTAACTGATTATTTTGAAATACTCGACAAGCATTATTGAAAGCTTAGTTCATATGCGTCTTATAGAAACTGTTTTGATTCTTGATTTAAGATTTTGCTGCATCAATGTGCAATATTGTATGTCGCAATATTTCTACATTATAATTTATAGGAATCATTGTGCTTTTCTATAAGTATATACATTAATTTGATTTCTTCATGTGCAATTATATTTCTACATGTTTTAAACATCACAAAGCTAGAATTTTTTTCTCAATTATTGGACAATTTCTTTTTAAATTTAATTTTGCAAATATACTGCTAAGATGATTTGCTATATTGTTATTGTTTTGCCAAAATAGTATTTGAAAATTAATTTTGTGCAAATAGTTACAAATATTTTATAAAAGACCAATATTTTTTTATATCTATTTCTCAAAATATATCTATATACCCACACAGAACAAAAACTCCATTAGACATCTATTAGACGTCGACAGCTCCATGCGACATCTAATACCCTAATAGGCACATTTGTGAAAATATTGCACAAAAATGGTATCATGAATGGCGATGATTTTGCAATGATTGCACTAAGATGATTCGCCATAACGCAACAGTTTTGTCGAAATAAAATTTTGTAAATAATATTTGTCAAAAAGTGCGAAAAAGTCGTTACAGTATATACTTCCAATAGACAAATTGTGAAAATATTGCACAAATATGACATCATGAGTGACGACGATTTCTTGCATTTCTTCATATGCAATCATATTTTTACATATTTTAAACATCACATAGCTGAATTTCTTTTCTCAATTATTGGACAATTTCTTTGTAAAATTAATTTTGCAAATATACTGTTAAGATGATTCGCCATATCGTTATTCTTTTGCCGAAATAGGATTTGGAAAGTAATTTTGCAAACAACTACAAATATTTCAGAAAAGATCAATGTTTTTACATCTATTTCCTAAAATATGTCTGTATGATTGCAAATTACAATTTTTATGTAAGATTTCGTCACATAATTTTATAAATGTTTTCCTATCAGGGATATTAATGTTTTAACACGTATTGCACATACCTTGATAATTATAAAAAGTGTTCGAGATATAAACAAATGCGAATAAATTATGTAGTTTTATGCATATCGTTAGGTGCAAAGTATGTGCAAAATATATACGCTCTTTTGTGTTGTTAGATGGCATTCAGAGAGTAGCATTGAAAGATTTGAAATAATCAAATACGCGAAACATATCTTGCCAATTATGAAGATAGACGGACAGTCGGGAAACATAACTTGATAGAAATATCAAAATACAGGAAGTATGCGCAAAATAAAATATCGCGCTTGTATAAGCAGACTGATAAACGGATCTTCATTAATTTATTAGTAAAAAAAAGACAAACGATATGAAATTCATCGTAATCTTTCCATATGATAGAAAAAACAATCGATAAATCAAAGATATCCTATATACTCGGATAGCCAAATGTGAAAACTCAATATAAAGCAAATCATTGTATAGATTAAGTTGCTCGCCAATTGCTGTTGTGTTGTTTTTCCTTAATGCAACGAAAATGTTTTTGTCAATTCAGTATCAATATGTTGAGTTTTATTGTCAATCAATTGTTGTAGCCAATGTTTATGACAAGTGAGTCAGGAATATGTGAGCAATATGTGAGCAATAATTTTTATTCATAAGTTGAGAAAAATAGTATAAGTTTATTGCCGATGAGTTGTTGGGAACTTGCTGTTATTATATTTTGAAAACTGTTGCTGGCAAGAACATACTGAAAAGAGGATACACCCTTTTGTTACATTGCTGAAAACTTATGAGCAATATTTGTGGCAAGTTGCCAACAACTTGCACTCAGTTGGCTATCTGGATAATTGCCAAAGTATATTTTCTTGAACACACTTATAAAACAAATTCATATCTGCTTTCAATGTCGATGCTTATCAATCATTTACTAACAAAATTCTCTTTCTACGGCCGCAAGATTCTATACTTAAGATTCCAGAATTGTTGTGTGCCCACATATTCCTAAGAGTGCCAAAATTAACCAGAAATTGTACATGTGAGTGGCTGCAAAATCATTTGTGATATTTTTTGTGTCCCTGTCTGTTGCTATTTAGATGTGGAATATATTTTTCAGTGAGTACCAAGATTGCATTTTTTTATACCTAGCTAGAAACTATAATGAATCTCTCAATGCTAACCATTCATGAATACGATGAATATACAATGCTTCTATTGTGCTTGTCAACTTTAGGACAATGCTAGCAGACGTGTGCTAGGGATAAACCCAGCGTCTTTGGGCGTCATATTTGCATAGCATTTGAAAGACGATGATGTTCGAACATTGTATACTTATAATAGTCGGAAATTCCCGGAGGAGCGGCGCACGTGAACCACAGAAAGAGAGAGAGAGAGAAAAGAAAGAGATTAAGGTTCAAGCATATAAACAAAATATCACAATATCCTTTCATATAACTCGTTCTTAAGAAGAGTTTTTACAAATTTTAAGATAAAAAATAAGGCATTTTTTTATTATAATTTTTGTATATAACAAAAAAAATTTTGTCAAATATACATATAAATAATAAAAAAATACAGAATTTTATATTCGATATCATTTATTGACAAACAAAAGATAATGTTTAAAAAGACACGTGTGTTAAATCAATAAAATAATTTTGAGCAAACAATTAGATTCTTTATATTTCGTAACGAATTATTTCTCGAGCATTATAGTGACGCACAATATTGACATGTAATAGTGACGTCTCTATTAGCTGGAATTCCCACTTAGAGATTCAACAGCACATGTTGTTTTCATAATTACGTTCAATTGAATCCATTTTTTTATCCAGTTGTCAACGTTTACACGCGATTTCTACTATATAAAGAATGATTATGCGAGTACTATATATATGTATTATTATTACTATTTTATATTTTGTGTTCTAGAAACCGAATGTTTTTTGCCGATTTGCTCAGTGTAATTTAGCAATAATATTCCATTAAAAATCACAATATCATGTACAATATCATTACAAAGTCCATTCATTATCAAAAATACAGTTTCTAAACAGGATTTGATGTTATCTTTTGAAGGTCACATGTGAAAGTACAAATGACGAGTAATTTATTTACTGCATATTGTACTTTTTGTATCTTTAGAGTGATTTGTGTGACATACAAATATTATGACACAAAGTAACATATGTCGATATATTTCAACTCTTGCGAACAAAATATCTTTCAAAAATTACATTGATGTAATTACAAAACTCGATATAATCGCTTTAGCGATTGCAAAATTCCCGTTTCACTGATGGAAAAAAGAATAATAAGTATAAATCTTAGTCAAAGAGTATAAATAATACTCATTTTATAATTACTACAGAAAATAATAAACTAACTGACAAACTAAATTAATTACTCAAGAAAAAATCATATTTTTTTATTATGTCAAAATCTGGTCATATTTTATAATCTTTATAAAAAATGTGTACTATATACATACCTACATATATAATTTATTTTATATGTACTTACATAAATGTTAGTATAAAAGTTTTTTTATTAATTCAATTGTTTTTGCGTACTCGACAGCTCTCTATATAAGCTTTAATTATGTATACTCATATAACTGAATAAATATATCAGAACACAACAATGGAACTTTTTGAGAACTTAAAATTATTATGGACTAACCTGAGAGAGAGAAGACACGATAAGATAATCTTCTTGGAACTTTCAAAACAAACTTTTTTTTTAGTTTAGCTCTTTAAAAATCACGCATCACGATGCATCAATGTTTTTTCTTTTGGATGTAGGTCAAGTTCAATTTTACAATCACGTTGTACAGTCGTGCGAAATCGGAGTATGTACTTCGTGCCGCGAATATCACGGAGACTGGCTCTGTTACTTCGTTCGAGAGCTGGTTTTAGTGGAATAAAACGTTTCTTATCTTACGGAAATTGTCGTCATAAGTAATACTTTCTTCGTGATGCTTCTCGCGTAGAACACGCGAATACTAACCGGGTACCGGTCGCCGATCTCTTTTATTCACCGAGTCCTAACAGTGACGCAGAGACGAGAAGAGAGAGAATGTTATAGTCCGAACGCTACGCGTATATAACTGTATAAGACTTTGACGGCACACTGTGACTCATCGTGTCGCTTACGCTTAAGCGTAGTTTACATGGCACTACATTTTGTTAATGCTTATTTTTAAAAACGTTGGAAAATAATAGGAATATACAGTAGCTTAAAAAAAAAAGAAATCATTTCTGCAACGAATCGAGAAAAATATGCTCTAAAAAAATTGTATATAAATAAATTTCAAAATTTACGCTAATATTGCTGTTGTTTATTTCACACAAATATATTTGTATACTCATATTTAATGTATAAGTTGTTGTTCTACTTTAGCTTCATGCAGGTATCCTGGTGAAGACACAATGAGGGTATCTGAGCTATTTATCATCCAAGTAATTGCACGTGTTAAGTGTGTAAAACCAGGATTGGGTAAGTTAAGTTTATTTTAAACTAAGTTAAGTTAAAGTTAAAAACCTTGAAAATGTAATTTAGTTAAGATACTAGTTAACCCATAATAAAATTAATTGATTAAAAGTTAAGTTAATAAAAAAAAGTAATTAAAAAGTTAAAAGTTAAATTTTTCTTTTCATGAGTTTAGTGTTTTAGTCTTACAAATAACAAAAATAATAAAAATAATAAATATACACTTAATTTAGAAATATACTTTATACATATTAAATAATTAATTTAGAAATATACTTTTTGTATATTTTAGAAACTGTATATATTTTAGAAATTATAGAAACATAAATTGTTTTGATACATTGATTTGTTTATAGATAAATAGATATATTTATAGATATATTTCTACAGATATATATTTTTTGTCGACAGATACATATTTATTATATATATTTTGTTTACAAAAACTTATTAAATTTAAGTAATAAAGCCATTTTGAAATTTTTATTTGACATTATTCTTCGAAGATTATCAAAAATGAGTTCTCCTGCACTGAACAGTCGTTCAACGTAAACTGAAGATAGTATTGATGCATTATATTTTATAAAAGCACGTTTGAGTACTTTAGGAAAATCATTTTCCGCGTCATAAATATATCGGTCGACAAGTAAATGTGAATAATATAATCTGTTGTAATCATAGTTTTGTTTTGGTTCTGATCTAGCGTCTTATTATTAAGTATAAAAAAATCATCGGATTTTGATAAGATCTGTTCTTTAAATGTACTTGAATGAACTTCATGGTTGTTGGTGTTAAACTCCCGAATACTCGATTTTAAAAGTGTAGAAAACCTATTTTTTCTTCGTTTTCATTCTACATCCAGAGCAATTTAAAATTTAGAACACGTTCCGTTTCATGCATATGCGCGCATGATCTATAATATACGTTACGTGTACTATGAATAAATGCGCGCATATGCATGAAACGGAACGCATTCTATAAGCGTCTTACAAAAACTGTAAACACTATCAATCATGTTGCGTTGGATTTCACGACCAACGTTTATTGGCTCAATTCTCAACATATACGAATTGTTTTCATACACGAACCATCCTGAGCTTTGTGATTGATCGAATTCTTCAGTCTATAAGTATACCAACTATGGTTATACGACGAAATATAATCCGTTTTATATGCGAACAACTTCGCGCAAAAATCAAAATCTTACAGCGTGGCTAATTTCAAGAGATTCAAATGAAAAGTTAATAGTTACCGAGAAAATATAACTAAATTAAGTTAAAAATTAAGAGCCCAAAAATGTAACTAAGTTAAGTTAAAATTATTTAACTTTTTAACTTTTTAACTTAACTTTTATCTTTTTAACTAGACACTATTCAACCCTGTGTAAAACTAATTTTCTTGCAAACCACGTTATAAATGTTAGACATTCTAATATTGTAACGATAAATTCGAACTTAAAAGTGTCTTTTATTTCTTCTTTTTCTTTTTCTTCTCTTCTCAAATATTCAGTAAATATACATTAACTCTTCGTCTGCAGACATGGATCTTCCAGACCCATCAAAAATTGCGCATCGGCGCTTCTAGAAAAAATAGTTTTTTTTTTAAACGCTTATATCTTCGAAACTAGTAAAGATTTTTTCACAAATAAAAAGAGAACTAATACGAGACGTAACCAGGGTGTCCGTATTTTGATGATTTATTCAATTTTGATGTCAAACGTTTCGATCAATATTAGGATCTATTTCAGTGATAATCTATTATAATAACGATCTATTTGAAATTACAATAAGGAATTACAAAAATGTCTTTTGCAAAGTTAATAGAAATACGCGATTTGCAAATGAATACATTACAATTATGTCTCGATTAAAATAAGAGATTTTTTCCAATTGTTTTTTTTTTCTGTGTTTTTTGATCGATGCAGAATCATTTTAACTTTTGATTCAAAAAACAAAATTGAAAAAATATTGATTTTTCGCGGAGATATTTGAATTTAAAGTTGCGTCAGTCTCACAGACAGTCTGTCTTATCGTAAATCATTTTTTATGTTTGCAGGCGAAAGCTTAATACTGTATTAATATTACACAAAAAGTTGCAAATCTTCTAACTTCAATAAAAAATTATTATTACTGCATATTGGTTATAAATTATAATTATTATCATTATATGGAAGAAAATCGAAAAAGATAAATGTTCCGAAAGAGTTTAGGCTCCTTAAGTTAAACTAACAACGCGAAATTTAAACGGTCATGGAAGCCTTACGCTGGATGTTACTTGCGGAATAAATATATATGTATATATTTAATGTTTCCTTTTGTGTAACATTTATACAATAGTATAAATGTCCGGGTTCAAAGTAATATTACGATTCATCATTCTTGAGATATTGAGTCATATATGTTTGGTTAATTATTTTGTGTAGATTACGGTCCCGTTTGCTTATGTTGTACATGTGGTTTGTGTATACTATAGGTACGTGTCGAAGCGTAATTCCCGCATGTACTAGGAAAAAGAATTTGAAGTTCTGTATCAGTGCGTTTTATTACACTTCCGTTCATTTAAAACGTCATCGCAAACAAATGGCGAGAAAGTTCGCTTTATCAGAACAAGTGTTAGACTTAACAATGAATAACAAGTTTTTTTTAACGCATGGATGAATAAGAGATCCAGTTAGTTCTTAAATACTATGTTTCACTTTTATGTTAAACATAGTATTTATTACAAGATCTGATAAATCTCTTGACATGAAAGTGAAACATGAAAGTGAAACAATATTCATTAAAAAATCTGATGGATCTTTTATTTATCCATATTAGTTTTATGTAAAACATAATACATATATGTGTACACGATGTGTGTATACGTGTGTGTGTGTGTGTACTACTATAATTTATTACAAATATATTTTGGCGTTTTAATATTTTTACTCTAGTAATTCTTATGCAATAGTTTAGTAATATCCAAAAATATATTGTAACAGCTCACGTTCAGATAGCACAGTGTGAAGATTTCTTATAATTAAGATGACGAGACTCTTTCTCTTAATAACGAAGAATTCAACCTACGGAAAAACCAATGAACCTTAGCTATCATAAAACGGATGACTTAAGACTTAAGACTTAAATGGAAGACTTAAGACTCTCGGTGAGACAATGTTTAAATAATAGTCATCGTTCTTATCACATATTTGAATAAGATCATAATGAAAGGATATCTCACTACGCTAATAAAATTAAGAACATTTATATTGTAGTTTGATATTATAATTTGAGTTATAATATGTATACATATATATATTATAGTTAGGAAATATCTCGAAATCTAACTTTTTCAGCTCTTGTCGGTACAAGATCGTAGATATTATTCTAATGAATTTGTTCACTTTTATATTATACCAGATGCACAATCTTCCAGATTTGGTCCACTTCGCCTCTCTTTGAGAAATATTAAAGAATGTTTAATTTCTTCTAACACATACAAAAGGAAAATCATTTATTACAGTTAAGGAGAAAAGACGTTTACATATTACATTATATTATTTACGATCACGTAGTAACTAAATTACACAAGTAAAAAAATATTTTTATAAAATATTATAGACAAAAATTCTATAGCTAAAAATTTAAGCATGTAAAATCTCAGTTTTGCATGTGCATTTACGCATATACGCATGTGTCAGTAATTCAGTGTTTCTAGGGGTAAGTTTCACTTGCTGTTCGCAACGTTCGTGAGCGTTATCTATCTTTGTTTAACTTTCGATGAAAAACAAGGATAAAATAATTTCATGAGCGTTGTGAACAGCAAATGGAACTTACCCCAGATGATACAAAATACTATACGCATGCGCAATAAAATAAATCTAGCAGACGCTTTCATTTCTTACCAATGTAAAAAATGTGGGCCAAGTTTTAACACATATGCGATAGCGCAGAAGCGGGCAAATTTCGCAAACATGCACATTTTCTTATGATATCGATATTGTGTTTTTGTTGAAAGAAGAAAAATAGAAAAATATATTTGTTTTGAGTAAACATATCTCTCTGAAAGTAAAGATTGATCATATGGTTTGTAACATATCCACGCATGCGCGAAAAGATCGGCGCGAGGAATTTATCGTACGATCTCTCTATATATTACTACAATATACGTCACATACATCATCATACACATCATCATCGGATGCATAAAAATTTTTGTGCAAAGCTTATTGTTACGCTCGTATCGAAAGAAAAAATACATTAGAAGACACATTAAAAGAAGTAATATTAAATATAAACTAATTGCAAAAAAAGAAAGAGAAGGCAAAGATTATTGTTCTTTTTCTTTTAATTGTCTGTAATTAAACCCTTGACTCTTGTTTCTAACCGGAAGGGAAAGAAATTAAAGCTTTCCGCTGCGAACGCGCTCGCAAGCGCACTAGTGGTGCGCCACTACCTATTACGTTTCCCGCCAACATGGCAAAGATGTCGGCGCTCGTGTCGTTTCCCGCCAAGTTCCGCGGCAACCTTGGTACAGTGCAACCGAGTTTTTGTATGGCGGTGTGAGAATTTTCCGCGCGTTTTCCCGTTTGAGTACTTTTCAGCTGAATTACGACGCCGAAAATGGGACAGTCGGACGATATTGAGGACTCCACGTATAGCCGGCATCAAGATCTCTGCCAGAAGCTGAATATGGATGCGACCGCCGCGTCCGAAGCCTGGAGATCTTACGAAACGATCCGACAAAACTACACTTTAGAGGTAGTGATTTATCTCGGTTTATTTATCTCGGTCTGTCTCAGTTTATATGATCAGCCGGAAGTTTTTCTACGTAAAACACCAAAACCGCATGACGTTTCGCACTATCGTTGCGATAAATCGCTTTAAATCATTTCATCGCGCTGATAAAGCAACCAACATTCGGACGATTCTCATATATTTGCGACTAATTATTCAAGGCGCGACAGACAAAAATTTGGCGCGTTTATCGAAAAGATTGTGTCGCAGGAAATGTCGATTAATTGTATTTGTTTTTCTTAATTTTATGAATTTTTAGTTGGAAAAGATTGTTTTAAGCTATGTGTCAAAAATTTTTTCCACAAATTTTACATTTTTTTTTTCTTTGTGAATAAATGTTTCACACACATCTTTTCCGTTCACTTCGATTTTCAACAATAGTTTTGATGTATAGTAATAACTATAATTTTCAAGAAAATATTTTGGCAAAAATATATTTTTGTAGGGAGATCAATTACATTGGATTGGATGTGCCTTATATGTGGCTTGTAGAAAATCTTCTACACCCACAGTAGGAAGACCAGGTGCTAATGTAGAAGGCAACTGTGTCTCTCTGACACGCCTTTTACAATTGTGTAATCTTCCATTGATACAGTTCTTCACAAAGAGCAAATCATGGGCGGACATGGCCAATATGCCACAAGATTTCCGTGCTAGAATAGAAAAGTTGGAGGGAAATTTTTCAGTGTCCATGGTAATATTTAAGAAGTATCAACCAATATTCAATGATATATTCAAAGATCCAAAAGAAGATATTAGACCATCCAGATCTAGAAGACACAAAGCAGTGCCCTGTACTCCTGCTAGAGTCTTTGAATTCTGTTGGACACTATTCATATGCATAAAAGGTGGAATTTCTGATATTTCGGATGATCTTGTTAACTCTTATCATCTTTTATTGGTCTGCTGTGATCTCATATATAGCAACGCTCTATTAGCTAATAGAAGAGATTTGCTAAATCCTAACTTTCCTGGTAAGTATCCTTGAGAAAAAAGATTCAAACATATATTAAATTTCTGATGAAGTTATGATTATGCTTTTATTTGTTTGACTTAAAGGCTTGCCAGCTGATTTTAACAACGAGAATTATACAATACCACAAACAGCTGAATGTATTCTTAGTTTGTTATGTGAACGTCACGAAGCTATTCCTATTGAAGCTAAAGTTATAAAAGAGTATCATGTGAAAAATTATATCAACAAATTATTTGACGAGAGAATTTTACGTGGTGATCAGTCTAATTTTTCTGGTATATTGGAGGCATTAAATTTTGATGCCAACAGCAAAGCCATTAACAAGGCTTATGAACAACGTGTGCTGAGTGTCGGGGACTTGGATGAGAGAATTTTCTTAGGTACAAATTTTTAATTTATTAATCATATATACACACATATACAAACATGTATAAATTTCTAATCTTGCATGTGTGCTTTCTGCTAGCTTACTTTGCTTTCACAAACACATGTGTAAATTGCTGAGCAAAAAATTGTGTGCTATGTAATGAATTGATATGTTTACAATTGCTAAAATCATGTTAAAAATGTATATTTATAACGTTTTAGTTAATACATTACGATATTTTTTTTTGTTTTTTATTGCACCTTTTTACATTAAAATGTTTTAGTATATTGAATTGACTTTTATAGTATATTGAAAATATCTTTTTTTTGTATACATGAACTTTATACAATGAAGGTATCTGAACTTGCAAGCTCATGACTTTATTTGAAAAAAAGAAAAGCTAAAAAAAAGAAATATACCTAATCATTTTATTTACGTTATTATGCAATTTTTTAAAAATCTGATTTGTGTATTTGCTATTTGTCGTGACTATGCTTTGTAGCTGAATGGAGAAGAATAAATTTGAGAAACATATCAAATTTGGATGGAGATATAAAATTGAAAGGTGGGTTTATATCATATTTTGCGAGGGTGCTATTTAATCGTAAATTATTAGTCAAATTAATTTCTTCTGATTACTAATCGCACATTTCCCAACAACGTGTCGGATCGTTCATTTTTCCAACTAATGTAGAAGAATATACAATTTTTTAAGTGTCAATTTATATAATTCTTGTTTAAGGTCATGACGCTAGCGAAAATATCGGTTCCCCTACGCAAATGATGAGCATTGACGACTTCCACGAACGATTGCAGATAAAAAGAGAACAAAATGCTGGAGTAAGTTTGTAATATATATTCTTTTTGAAATAAATATATAATACATGTTTTTTTATGTATAAATGTTTATACAGATACAGTATCCGGCATTGCTCACACCACTAACTGGTCGTAAATATCTTCGATCAAAGGATATAACTAATATAACGCCAGTAACTACAGCGACGCAAAGTGTAATTAAATTACAAGCTTTAATAGCTGGGCAATCTGCGCCAAGCGAAGACTTGTTACAAATGCTGAGCAAGTGTTCTCATGAAGTTAAAGTTGAGACAAAAGTTAAACAGCTTGGTGAACAATTTTGCGCTTGTTATAATAACAATGCCGCTAACGTTAATGATGGTTCGACATCCGATTTTGGAAGGATGCGTCTTGTCATGGGAGAAACTCTATTTTACAAACTTTTAGAAATGATTCTAAATGACGAAAAGCGCAAGAAACCAAATTACGATGTAACTGTAAGTTTACAAAAATTTTTATACACTGAAAAATTATCAAACCTGCACAGCATATATTGATATATTATAATGATTTATTACAGAATCTTTTATCAAATGAGCTTTTCATTCAGTGCTTGTTTGCCTGTTGTCTCGAAATAGTTATATATTCGTATAAAAGTAACGACAAAGTATTCCCGTGGATATTAAAAGCTTTAAATCTAGATGCTTACTATTTCTATAAAGTCATAGAAATTATAGTAAGAACTGAAGATCAATTGTCACGAGATGTGGTTAAACACTTGAATCAGATTGAGGAAAAGATTCTAGAATCATTGGCTTGGCAGAGCGACAGTCCTCTGTGGCAAACTATTGAGTCTTTATGCGCTAAAGATGGTGTGCCAAGTTGTGAAGAAGTTTCTTTGCCCGGTACTTTAGAAACTGTTGATCCTAACGCGCCTGGCCAACCTGTATTACGACGGATGGCAATAGACCGAGACCGTACCCATCATGACGTTCAACAGAGTCCGATTTCATCTGCATCGGAAAGGTATAAATTGTTTATCTAAGTATCTTTAATCAAGAATAAGTGTAAATTAGGAAGTATTCTATTTAGATTTCAGTCTCCAATCGCATCTAATGTAGCGAAGAAACGATTATTCGGCGACACCAGAGTTACTGGTCAGAGTGTTTTGCGAGTCGGTCAAAGTTTATTGTCTACTACTAGTAGAGTATTATTAGACGGCCAAAGGATACTCTTGCTGCCGGATCAAATTGTTCCGAAATCTTCGGCCTCACAAGCGTCGAATACTCCTGTACTACCCGTACAAGCAACGAATAAAGATATGACCAAGCCGAAACGAACAGGTTCTGTCGCACTATTTTTTCGAAAATTTTACAATCTCGCGTGTGTGCGTATGCAAGATTTGTGCAATTCATTGGAGATATCAGATACTGATAAAAAAAAAATCTGGACAATTTTCGAATACTCCATCAAGGAACGTACTGAGTTGATGAAGGATCGACATCTTGATCAGATCCTGATGTGTGCAATTTATGTAATATGTAAGCTAGTGAAGATGGAAAAGAACTCGTTTACCGAGATTATGCGATGTTATCGTTTTCAACCTCAAGCACAGTCTCATATCTATAGATCAGTCCTTATTGGAAAAAGTTCCACTGACAACGATTCGAAAGGAATCGATAATGAAAAATCAGATGATAAGCGCACATCAGAAGAGAATGTGACTCCACCGACACCGACAAACATGGCCGGAACATCACAGAATTTTGACGGGGAAATACGTGGTGATTTAATCAAATTTTACAACACTGTATATGTACCGCAAGTCAAGGAATTTGCGAATAGATTTGGATCAGCTCGCGGCAGTGTTATGAATCTCTCTTTGAGTCCTTTACCGAAAGGAAAAGCAGCTGCTAATTCTCCAGTAAGGCGTGTTACTGGTAGTATCATGACACGTACTCTCGATCCGAAGGCTATTAGTGCATCACCAGCGCCACAATTGAGTTATTGTTTTAGTCGTAGTCCTGCAAAGGTATTTTTTTTCTTTAAATGTCTAAGAATAAATACTGCCTGTTTTTTTTTTTTTTTTTTAATGTTAAAATAATTATAAAAATTGATTTTTTTAATGCATATGTTTTATCGAGATATATTCTTTCAGGATTTAGAGGCTATCAATAAAATGATGATATCTGTAGATCCAAAAAAGAGTGTAGGAAAGCGATTGCTATCCGATGACACGGATGTAGAAATGACAGAGGCATCATCTCCAAATAAGAAGACTACAGCTTTTGTTGCACGGAAATTAGAGCATATTATTGGAGAACGACGAACGCAAAATCAATAAGCGGAATGTTGTAAAATGATTCTGGCTCAATGGAACCTTTGAGGATGACAAGCGATCTGCAATTCATTTATTTATATATTCGGTTTGCGAAACGCACAAAATATATAAAAATCAGTCTCTTGGCTGCATAGACTATGAATCAGACGTTCGCGTTTCTCAGGTATAGTTATTCTAGCAAATTGGAGAGATCTTATACAACGTCGTTCATATTATATAAGCAGAGAAAAGACTGAGAGTGGCCATCCTATTGTAGTTTCTTACGTCAGTTTCAGCCGCTGGTTTCAACGCTATATTCACAAAAGTGAATCTCAAAGTTCCACATTAAACGCAAGTCTCGTGGAACTGATCAATCACGTTGGTTGATTGGCTGATTTGACTATGCGATTAGTCAATTCCACGAGATCTGCGATTTGCGTTTAATGTAGAACGACCTTTGAGATCTACTTTTTGTGGATATGACGCTAAAACCAACGGCTGAAACCGTCGTAAGAAACTACAATAGGATGGCCGCTCTCAGGTTTCTCTCTGACATAAGTAAGAAAGAGAGAAATAATACTGTAATTGTTTGTAATTTTATTTAGTGTAAAGTCAGAATTCAATTTCTAGTATTCTTCGTTGACTTTTAACAGAGTAGACTATTTTTTGTTAATTTTTTATAATTTACTGAAACGTCTTTCAAGCCGCATAAACGAGAATTTTGAATACAAAGAAATATAATGTGAATTATAATTGCAAAATAACATATTATATATATATATAGTATGTTATTGTCTCCTCTAAGCAATACATCATTTTACGTTCAACAAAAAACACATGATTTAACAAAATGTGCCTGCTATTGCTTTTTGATCATGATTGTTACATAGAGAGAATACATATGTAGTAAAATTATATACAAGGTCCGACAATTGGTGTAACATCTCTCGTAGGCAGGTAAAAAGAGTAAAACTGAGTCGAAAAGTCCTATTACATTTTGCAAGATTCGCAATAATTACTAAGATCTTAATTAACAAAGATCCGCAAATAAGCATGCGCTTACACGCGTAAGACAGCTCGGCGCACTTACGGTGTTACCCGTAGCAAGATATGAAAGGAGCTAATATAACAGCATGTACAGTAGGGAGCACCATATCGTGCGGCTCCAGGGGAAGTATTTCTCGGAAATTTTTTCTTTAACTGCTCCTATTACTGCGCGCTCTTCTCTTTCGATCTCGGACCGTTGGCGGGGACCGAAGAAGAACGGGGCGCGATAGTATAGAGCATCCAAAGGAGAAATTCCCGAAAAATATTTTCACTGGAGCCGCACGATATGGTGCTTCCTACTGTGCTTCAACATATACATGATAAATTACGCGCGTACGACAGCCCGATGCGTACTTGTTTGCGGATCTTTATTAATTAAGATTTAGATAATTATTGTGAATCTCGCAACATGTAGGATTTTTCGACTCAGTTTTACTCTTTCTACCTGCCTACGAGAGATGTTACACCAATTGTCGGACACTCTGTATACGTATATATACGCATGCTAATAACGTCTATAAAACGATTGATGAATTCTATAGACATTGATTCTATAGAATCTTCGAATACGTTTGTAGACTTATCAAACTAATTACTTTCGGCGAACTTTATATAATATAAAGCACTATATTTTAATCAAAAGTTTATACTTTTCACAACGCATTCAATAGAAAATTTACAAAAAGAATGTGGTAGTATTATCGTGATAAATTGTATAACAATATACATGCTATAGAATTTATATGGGGTGGTCTATCACCAATAAAAATGTTTTAACATTGAATATATTTTTGGATAAATCTCAACTGATTCTTTTTTTTTATTTAACACTAAGTATCATTGTAATTACATATTGAATGAATGTTTTGCTTATTCTCTCCACTGATTGTATTGATATCTTGATATTAAAATAATTATGGTAGTTTTCTTTTTTAGCTGTAGATGTCTACCTCATTGTGAAATATTCAATTGTGGTAAACCATCCTGTATACATAAAAATTTTGAATTTGTAAAAATAAGTTAAATAAAAAACTATGATATTAATTATAAATAGCTTTTGTTTCCGATTGTTGTAATCATTTTGTTGATTACGTTATTATTATCTCGTGGATAACCTAGTCAGTATTTGTGAAACATTATTTCGTACAGAGAGACTTTTCACTGGAAATTGTTCTGACTATATATTTCTCAAGTGCGTATAATACTCGTCAATTAACTATTCTTGCTGTTTTGATCAGAATCTAAATCACAATATAATTACAGCCATATTCGGAGAGAGAGCAGTTATTTTAACAGATTTAAACCGTGGGCGAAGTAAGGAGGACTCGTAAAAAATATAAATATGTTTAGTGACTATTTGATTGACTTACTTTCGTTTATGAAAAAAACATGGTTAAGCTAATAACTTTGATAATAATGGGAGAGACGAAATTACAACATATTTATTATAATCGTATCTCAAAATGTAAGTTATTTATTTTTTATATTTTTAAAAATTCATTTTGTCGAGGATTGTGTGTGTTTGAAAACCTTGAAAAAAGTAGATTTAAGTATTGTATTTCTAAATTTATATAATTGATCTCATTTGATAATCATCTCGTCTATAATTTGCCATTCATTATTAAACAAATGTATAAAATAAGAGTTATGTGAAATAATAAGAAAATAAAAAGAAAGACAATAATTGTATTTATTACATGATAAAGACTTCATAACTCTTTAATATTATAATAATTGCGAAACAAATATCTTAATGTAATTGAATATAAATGTTCGTTATGAGATGCCTGTGTTATTTATTTACATAGTTTTTATATTATGTAGTAATACGTTGCTCTCCAGTTAGTTTGCGTCTTATTTCTTCTATCGATCATTGTAGAATAAAGAAAAACGCTATCTTTATTCAGCAAATTATTTATTATTAAAAATTTACTATTAAAATTAACTTACAACTTTTTTCAAATTATTTTGTGCTTTATTTAAACAGACTAAATTTTTAAGCCAGTTATTGTACATGCGCGACTAATTGTAAGCACAATTATTTTTTTATGTATCAAAAATAATTTAAAAATGACAAAATAATAAAAATATGAATCTTACATAAAATTTTTATCATTTATATATACATGTAATTTACAACTATTTTACTATAATATATTTGTGTATTATCAAAAAGTAAGTTTTATAGTTTACAAAACATTAAAAAAACATATATGTTCCATGAATTTAAAATATTTATTAATCAAAAATCAAATTCATATCTTTTTATAATAACAATTCTCATTGCGTACTTCTGCATATAAAATATATTACAATATATATACAAGAAAAATTCTTATACAAGATAGGCTTCAAGCCTAACTGGATTTTTGCACGCGCGCATACGTTTGTTATTTTTATATAGACATAAATTTACGTAAATTACACGCATAAGTATATTAAGTTTTAAGTGTCCAGAAGTGTGAGATATGAAAATCATATCATATAGTATATAAATTTGTACGTGCGATAATAAACTTTAACGCGAGCCACATTTCTTTAAACGTTGGCTGCCGAAGCAGTCTTTGTCAGAATTCTTATCGAATCTATTTACAAAGACTCTAATGATGCTCGTAGTAAATCCACGAAGATTGTATTGAATTTTTTTATGGCCTAGAAATTTTACGTATATTTCATGTTTTCAATGAAACTGCCAGGGACATTTTTTACTGTAAACAATACTTTCCATATGATGCATTGGCACAAACGTCGGACAAGTTTAATACGCGCGATAAGATTTGTATATTTTTTCAGTCCATTACGTCTCTCTATTATATATATATATATATGTATACATATATATATATATATATATATATATTATATATATATATATATATAAAATTTAATTTTGCATTATATATATTATATATATACATATAATGCAAAATATTCTTAATTTTGCCAATACTAAGAATATTAAAGCGTTGAGCCAGAGATCGGTCAAAAAACTGAAAATTAAACTTTCTTTAGCCAATTAAATTTGCAAGCGCAGATTTTATTAAGATACAATTTTTGTCACAAAAAAGATCACAGATTTACTGCAGACTTTATTGTATTCGATAACTGTAGATGGTTGGCGGTAAAATTAAAATAAAAGAGCTAAGATAATATTACAATAGCGTGATGTCAAACATCAAGCAAAATCTGCCGATAAACTTTACTATACAAATTGATGGTAGAATCTGCTAACAAGTTGAATTGGTAATCAAACAAAATCGATGGACTCTAATGACTTAGAAGCAGATTTTTTTGTGAATTCATATTAATTTTAATATATTTTTTATTAAAAATATAATCTTGGAAAAAATTAAAAATTAGATTTTTTTAACATTAACTCTGGCCTAACCCTTTAAATATGTCTTCAGATCATTTGTATTTTGGAATATCGTCGCGTCAAAATACAAATGATTCGATATAATTTGTTCTCTAATTAAACTTTTGATCAAATCAACATTATAGCTTATAGAATTGCAATGAAAACATATAAAACTCACAAATACGTTATATATTGCTACATATCTTCTAGTAGAGGTTTTACTGTAAAGGTGTAAACATATGCTGAACAACTCAGTTTTTCATGTATAAAAAATAAAAAATAATAATTTTTATATATTATACACTGTTCAACACACATACATAAATTAATACATATCTCTATGGTTTTTTTAAACTGAAATACACATGACGAGTCATGGACATTTTGTAAGACTTTTTTAAATCGTCATTCACGTAGCAAAATATATATACATCGTACTGTATTGTATCTCTTTGTTAATCTTCTAAGAATTTGATCCTAAAGAATAACAGTTTATTGAAGCTCTGATAATTTACATTAGCAGTGCCAGGCTCTCTTTGCTGCGTTTTTAATTAGCTTTATTTTCCTGTAGAGGAACATTTGAATATTTCGGAAAATCTACCGCGTCAACGGGATTCTTAACTTTGAAACTGGGGAATAAACCTGTCATGCTAGTTCTGGTGTTATATCCTTTAGAGAAACCGTCCCAGTGATTACCATAAACTTCAATCAAGTCTCCGACCTGTAATTCCAGCTCTCCATTTTTTCTCGGTTTATGATCCATAATAGCTACATGTGGATGCGGATTTTGTCCCCCGTAGTAATATATATCGTCGAGAGATGTGAACTTATCATACGCGTCCGTGTGAAAGGTTTGCATTAGCTCGTATGCTACGCGACACACTTGAGAGCTGAACGTGCACACTAGATAATCACATTCCGACAAAAGGTGAATATCGATAATTATTCCCTGCAATGAGGTGTCCGAATATCTCTTTGCTACAGACGCCGTCTCTGCGATTTCCGGATCACCAATTATTTCGTAATTAGGATAACGTTTTCTGGCTGTTAATATCACCTTTGGATCATCACTAGCTAAAAATACTCTTCTTACATCCGGCTTCGTTTCAAGTTCGTCGAAATACTGTTCTACTTTGCTCATATATTCATCTATGTCATGATAAGCTGCCTCCGTGCCCACTTTGTCGGTTCTGCGTACGTGAACGCCAACAATAGGTTTTTTAAATCCTAGTTTTTCTTTTGCTCTCTCCAGTGTCTTCTTCACATGATCTTGAGGACGCATCAGATATTTTAACACTTGACCTACCCACCAAACTAAAGGATGGCCATGAATTTTCTCTAATCTCGGCGCCAAGTCTGCAGGTATACTGGGTGGCTGGAATCTTGGTTTAGGATTAACATTATCTACAATTGGCAGAGATATTACTTGTTTAGAAGGATCGCCAGGCCAATTAGAATGCGAAACACCGGACGTAGATATACAAGTATCACTGAGAGGTTTAAATACAGATTCCCAGCCATCCTTATGGTACCTCCATCCTTTAGATTTTATTATCAATGTTCGTTCTGTACCATAAGCCACTAAAAAGCAGTACGTGATGTGATGAATCTGCAAAAGAAAATATGCATCTCAATATTACTCATACATCAATGATTGAATGAGCATATTTTAATTTTCTTACTTGACAGCCAAATCCACATCCTTTATTTAAGCTACATATTAACTTCCTTGCTTTATTACAGTCAGTAGGATTTTGTAAATATCTTAAAAAAATGTCTCGTTGCAGCTTTATTTCTTAAAACTTTCAATATTATAATAATACAAATTAATATTACAAATCCTATTACCTAAATCTCCTTTGAACAAGATCGGATAAACTTTTTGCCTCTTTTTCTCTCCACTCATCATAACCATCTGCTTTTTTTAATTTATCAATATTTATTATGAGTGATTTTTTGTGTTCCCATATATTTTTCACTACATCTTGTATTTCCTTTTCTCTCTGGTCATATGTAAATTCGTCCATGTGTTTTTTCAATTTATTTAATTCAGCATTAATATAATACCTGTAATATTAAGCTGATTTTGCAATCTTTGTCAAATTTTTAGAATATTTTGATACTCAGAAAAGTTTGTTGCACTTACCATGTTTCCTGAATATTATTTCTTAATTGTCGTCGTAGTTCTTCATATTCTAAAGAAGGAACACCATGCTTTGATCCATCTTGGTGATCTATTAGGTCGTAATAAACAGATGCTTTTTCTAGCTTATTTTGTATGGCACCTAAATTATTACCTTCCACAGATCTTAATGCTTCTCTGGAAATTATGTTAGCCTGTACAATGAAAAGATCACAATGCCCTATGTCTCAAATTGCAAATGTTGTAAACTTGATTAAATGTTTTATTACAAAAAATGTTCTGTTTCATGTAAATTTTATATGCAAAACCACCTACCCTAAGATGTAATTTTTTAGTGCATCATTTTGCTTCTTTAGAATTTCAAAATCCTTAACCATTTGTGCTAGACGTTGGGTGTTTTCTTTGTTGGCAGTAGTTGTGTCATAACTTGACAAGGAGTTAGATTTAAATATATGAACAACAGATATAATTAATACCAAAAACCATATGGCTAACAATATTACTCCAAGCTTTCCTAACCAACCAGGTCGTCCAGACCAAATTGCCATTTTGAACAAAGTAACTAGTGTATTTTTTTGCGATGTGTCACATTATATCTGAAAATATAATGTCAAATGTAATTCACATATAGAAAGGGTAAATGACATGGGTCACCAATGAAGCACGGATATATTTATAACGTGAGCAGATTTTTGATATCACAGCATATTAACTTTGTGAATTATTAATCATCAATGTTAGTGTACTTACAAATGATTAAATTTTAAAAAATTGCAAAATAAGCACACTTGACTCGGAGAAAAACGAACGAAACAACGAAATACAAAACAATGCGGTAATTACTTCCGTTTCTACGGTTCCATGATTACTCCCCTGTCTTTCGATCTTCTCGCAGCGTGTACATAATTGACATGTATACACGCACATATGAAAGAACGACAAATTAATAGCAGATTAATAGTCAATTGTTAGACAAAAATAATATTTATTGCAACTATAATAATTGCGCGCGTATTTGATTGTATCCAAAATTGGAGAGCAAGATAAGCGAATAAAAAATAACTTATCGACAATTGCCGTGTTGTTTCGTTCGTTCTCATAGAAGATAGAAAGATCGTTATATCGCGTATATGTGTCATTTAAATTCTTGTTAAATCGCTACTGTTTTCACCTTTATACTATCTCGTTATGAGTTTTCACGGTTCTCGATCACTTCTTGCACTTACGTGTTCGGTAGTGTCAACCGCTCGCCGCGCGCTTCGCTAATTTACGAAACACAACGCGAGGGTTATCTATCATCTGTTTGCCACTATCGCGTTATCACGACACTCAAATCGAGACGTCCACTGCACTGCTTATTCTTGACTTGATTATTCCCGTCATCGCTGTACGCGATGTTATCGCTGGCGATGGCGCTCTCTTTTCTCTCTCTTTATTTCTTTCTCTTTCTCTTTCTCTCTCTCTCTCTCTCTCTCTCTCTCTCTCTCTCTCTAGTTGTACACGAAGTATAATTCTTTTTATTAAAATAAATCAAGGAAAATGAATTTGAGTAATATACGAAAAATATTCCGAGAATCTCAAAAATTTTTATCAAAATTTTATCAATATTTTGAGATGATACATAAATTATGTTTTGATGTCACGCGTTTCTCGTGCGTCACTTCCAGCCAATGAGCGCGCTCGAATCATAAATTCTGAACATATCGCTATGATTTATCCAACTGGTGGAAAAACGGCAGAAAAATCGAAGAAAGCTTTCCGTACCGTACGGAATTTGAATTCTTTTGCGAAAATATAGACATATCAAGAGTTTCGAAAGTATTGATCTCTTGGTTTACCGACTCGCGAGTCGTTTCTTTGATGAAATTAAACGGGAGTCCTGACAACTGCACGATACTGCACGATCGATGTCGTAAGACGCTGACATTTAAAAATACCGCGCATAGATTTCGGCCATTTTGCTTTTTCTGACGACGCTGCTAATAGGTGCTTGACAACAGGTGGCGTTGCCTGTCTACTCGTTGCGTTCCAAGATGGAACCAGATGAAACTTGAATGTTCACCGCAGCTGAAAGGTAATTATGAGGTAGTATGTAGAAGTTCGGATCGTCGAGTGTGCGCTATCTTATAAGGAGACGCTGTTAGGAGCTGGGACATTCTTCATTGATGTAAGCAACGAGATGATTCGAGCCGCTTCAAAATCGCAATAGAAAATTTGGTCGAAAATTGATGCGAGACGCGGATGATGAGACATGCTAATGCGAAACGAAGTGAGATAGCATAATCAGACACGGTCTATCCTCTTCCCTTTCTTCCGTATACTGCCTCCCACCATTCAGAACGATCGCGCACACAGCATCCTTGCGCGCCAAACACGCGTTCGCCGGTGGACGCATGTCGTGTGTCCGTGGCTCGCGTGGCTGTACATACCTGTGAATAGTGTATTTTAAGCCTTAGTTTTAACGAAATAACCTAAAAGGGAAGGCGAGGGAAGGCCGCGTCGCGCGTGAGACGGAAAATAACGTGAGAGGGCACAACGCTGTGGAAGCGCGAGCGGATAGAGAAAAAGACGATTATTACATCGCGATACATCGGATACGGATTTCCGTTGTCGGGGAACGGGCTAGTTCGTGAACTCAGGTGAGAGACGTTCATCGCGATCTCTAGGGTTATTAATGCAAGATATAGAACGCCGATCGTTGCAACAAGCAGAATTTCCACCAATTTTGTCTCTTTCTCTCTTCTATCTTTTTTTTCTCGTGTCTCTTCTCGCTTGTTCACTTTTTCCCCGTCTCTTGCTCTTTCGCGCACAATCTGTCTCTTTCTCCCGTTCCCTCTCCTTTCTCGCCACCGACGTGCACGCAGTTGTCGGTTTTCGCTTGTTTCATTCTTCTTTCCTTCCTTGGTCTTTCCCTTCGAGTATCCGTCACGGTGTCATATTCGACCGCCCGTTTTGTTCATTTAATATATATACATTTCCTACCGATCTCGCGTTTGTGTGCCGTCGACTTAGCTGGGCGCTTTGGCGAGTCTATAGACCGCGATCGTCGTGCGCGCCTTCCGTGTCGCGACAATTTTCTTTGTGTCCTCTCTCTCTCTCTTTCTCTCTTTCTCCTCTCCTCTCTCTCCCTCTTCCTCCCTCCCTTCCTCCCCCCTTCCCTCCTTCCCCTCTTCCCTTGGATTGCTTGGTGCACGGCACACCAAGCACACAGTGTTGTCAAAAATCCGGCAGCAGCGCGCCGGAGCTGCACACAGCTGCCATTGCTGTAACTATTCGACTGATTCTTATTCGCAGCTCGGTTAAATTACGTTCCAATCCGTTCCAGTTTTGGACTAATTATATCTACGCGCTGTTCGCTGTCATCACTACCGTCGTTGTCGTCGTCACCGTGATCGTCGTCGTCACCGCTGTGATTACATCTCGCCTATCGTCACTGTCGTTGTCATCGTTGCTGTCACACAGTCTTTTCTATCGTTATCATCACGGTAACGGTTAGTGAAAATGTACCGCTGTTAACGACAGTGTGCGTTACATGTTAGAACATGTCCGCGCAACAACCGTAGCAAGCGGCATCATCTTCTCCGGGATTTGGCCAGCCGGCTGTCTACGAGCTAACCCTTACGTGGCCGTGGAAGGACTCCATAGCCTCGTTGTGGCCGGACAGTATTTACTGTGTCCGGGAACAACGAGACAACCTGACAACATACGAAGACATGAAGTGGCTTGGGACGAGTAGCGGAGGTGCCGGAGGCGAACCGGCTTCCTCCATGCAACTGCATCACACCTCCGCCAATGGCCACATATCTACGGTACACATATCTAGTTATATCTTTTTTTTTTTTTTTTTGTTTTTTTTTTTGTTATTTGCAATTGCTCCTTATTGAGTAACATGTGTGCGGAATATGTATCAAGCATGACTACGATAATTGCGGCTCGAAAAATCGGCTGCCATAACCTCATAAAGTTATTGTGTCCGGACAGAGTATTAGTGTCACACATTTAGAATTGCTCAACTAATTTTTAATAAGTTTTTTGCTTTTTTTTTTTTTTTTCAAGAGATAGAGTATAGAAAGTGGTATGAATGTTGTGTATTTTGTTGTAACTTGAGATAGAGTTTTAGAAGAAGACCTGTTTCTTTTTTTTCTCTTATATTTTCAAGTAGTTCTTACATTGTAAGATATTAAAGATTTGCACATAATTTTTTCAACCATAAGCATAGAGATAAATTTTGGACTAGTATGTAAAAAAACTCACAGTTGAAAACTATGAATACATAATAAATGTACCATAACTCCTCTCTTTCTAGTGTAGAGATAACCACATCTTGAATGAGAACATAAAAGTAACGAACAGCTTTATAGTTTATTGCGAGTAAAAGATTTATAAACAAAATATGATATCTTCTTTTGAAGTTGTCAAAACTACTCTTCTATGTGGTTTATTTTTGTCTTTATCATCATAAAAAAGACTACCAGAAGTTGACTTTTTTTTCTTTTGTTCATTCTAAACATTCAGAATAAATTTATAATCTCAAAAGCAAGCTGATGTTTGTAGTCAAATCATATTAAGATTGTTTTAAGTTCATTAGATACTCTTTGTAATCAATAAAATTATTCTTAACAGCATCTTTTAAATTGAACTTAAAATGATTTTTAATATAAGATTGAACAATAAATACTACTTAGTTTCTCTTTGTTTTTTTTTTACATCAGTATTCATAGATCTTATAATCAAGATTGTCTTAAGTTTAAGATGTACAATCATTTTATTGGATACAGATGTCTATTTAAAGATGAATTAATGATTTAAGATAATGTTAAATACAAGAGCTGACTATGAATACAAACCATAAATTCTGTCATTTAAGAAGAGCTACTGTATTAAAATTTATGATTTTAGGTATGATTGTGGAGAGGTTATGTTGTTTTAGAATAAATATTTACTTTAATAATTTACATTTTATCAATATCCTCTTGTATGTTATTATCGTTTTATAATTTATTATTAGGATACTGAACAGTGTGGTCAAGTAATGGCTGGTGGTGATAACATGCGAATTCAACCTGGTCAGACTCATCAAATGGGTGTGAGTAGAACTCAGGATGATGCCATGGTTAGCTACGTATTTCAACGACCTACGGAGCCAGAATTTAATACTCAGTCATCAACTTTCCAAGCTAAACAAGCTCCACGCACTTGGGCTTTAGCAGACGATGTTATCGTTGATAATGTATGTTTAACAAAATATTTCAGAATTGATTGCATAATTTATCTCATATTTTTTTTATTTTCTCAACTAGAATTGCTTATTTCAGAATCAAGAGAAATGGAAATATCCTATGGCTAAACTTGGTGTACCTCAACAAAGTCAATCTCAACAACTTGGATTAACTATGAATAACGTACATTTGAGTAATGTACCATATGAGATACATCCAATGCAGTTAAAAGTAAGTATGACATTCTAATGTATGCTCTGCATGAACTTACGGAATTATAGTTTAGATAATTTTTTTATATAAATATTTTTTATAAAATCTAAAAACACTTGGAAAAAGGCATCGTGAACCAAGTTACTGATGTTGATATATGAATTTCTTATTGTACTTAATAAGTAACAGTCAATACGTTTTGATCTTAGATAATGTCTTCTTCGATGTAAAATCGAAATATACAAATTGAACTTTCTGATAATTCAAATAAGCTCTGAAGTTTTTTTTAGTGTAGACAAAAATTAGATAGTTTTTTTAATGATTTTTTCTTATTGATAATCACAGAGGATATGTACAAGAACACACGTAGTAAATTGTTTTTATACGATAGCTCACGAGTTCGTCTTGTCAAATATAAAAAGAAAAAGATAAAACCTAATTCAAACAAGTGACATAAATGAAGTCTAAACTTCTGTGGTAATTTATTATTTATTATAAATCACATTGACCAAATCACAAACCAAAAGAACTCTCAATTTCTTGCGCGATTTCTTTAAAGAAACAAAATCAATATTCATTTAAAGTATAATATCAAGAAGTTTAATTCTTTGTAGTCAGACGTGGGTCTTCCAGACCTATTTAGAAATTGCGCATCGGCGTTTCTAGAAAAAATTCGTTGTTTTAAACGCTTATACCTTCGAAACTTCTAGAGATTTTTCCAATTTGATTTTTTTTATCAATGCAGAAGTTTTCAAACTTTTGATTCAAAAAAAGAAATTCAAAAAATATTGATATTCGATCTTAAAATCGCGTAGGTCTTACAGACTCGGCCTAACTAACTCGTAGATCATTTTTGAGATCTGACCACAATGGGTTACACATATTGAAAAGAATCTTATCTTAAAGTCAAAACACATATTGACATCTACTTATAAAAGTACAACACATTTACGCAACATCAGCTTGGTTCTCAATGCTTTTTTTTAAGTTTTTAAATTGTTAAGTTATAAGAATTATATATATATGTTTATATCCAATGCTTTTTTTTTGTTTGTCCTTTAGAGTGGAGCACCAGGAACGGAACACTTGGTTTATCTAAATAACCAAATGACTGCTCAACAACAAGTTGCCCTTTTTCATCATCAACAGCAACAGCAACAATTCAGAAATGGACAGGTAAGTTTTGATATGCAATATTAGTTACATTTAGTGAACTCTTACACGTGGCAACGCATTCTTTTAGATTAGCTAATATTATAATAATAATCTTCTAATTTATACATGGAAGTTTTGTTACTTTACTCTGCTATGCGTTTCGGTAAATAATTGTATTTGTGATAAACTCTAAAGTTTTTGTTTATCATATCAAAATATCCTCATTTTTATGTGGCAAGAAATTTGACTTAAATTTCTCTTTTCTAGATGCTTATTTGACTATTGAATTATGACGTCAAAAGCAAAAAATCGAATACAAGTGTTATCTGATACAATTTATTTTGAAATAAACTAATATTTAAAATAATAATAAAATAATTTTCAAAACATTGCTATCAATAATAAAAGACAAAATGATAAAATTCACCGTAAAATTTTTTTTTAAAGTTTACATATTAACAAATATTTATAAATGTCATAAAAAAGAGAGAGAGAAACAGAGTATTATGAAAAATTATATATTATATATAAATAGAATTATATATTCATTAATACACAGAATAAGAAGAAAAGAAACTTTGGCGATTTAATTTAACGATTTATACTTTCAAATATCAATGGCAGTATGTAAGTAGTAGCATCTAATTCACTTTGTTGTAAATTGCATGACAAAAATTTATATAATTTCTCGCTTTTGATGTCATAGTTCAATACAGCTGCAATGAGTATTCAAATTACAAAAATAGATAAATAAAAAAAACTTGGAAAAGTTTTTAAAATAAACTTACCTATTTATACGTTATATATATATATGTTTATAAAAACAAATTGCGAGAGACTATTTGCAGTTATTTATAGATGCAAATAGCATCTTGCAATGACAATATACAGATGTAGGTAACATATACAGATCCAAACAGCTTTTTTTTTATTATATTATTTTTATTATATGTTACAATTTCTTTAGTAATATATATATCAAATAAAATTTTTAATATTTTTAATATAAACAAGAAAATAATATCTCGTTTATAAAATAAAACTAATATCTCGTTTAATCGAATTGAAAATTGATGAAATAAAAATTACAAAGTAAAAAGAGATATCAATAACTAAAACACTTATAGATTTGAATATTCTTTTACATTAATTGTAATTATAACATTTGTAAAAATATTTATTACATTTCACAATTTATGTATTAATGATGAAGTTTCGAATATTTAAAGTATAAACATATTATTGTAAAATCAATTATTATTGAACAAAGTGTGATTTTAAAGTGATGACTAGGAGATAATTAAGAATTATTTTTTTTATATTTGTTATAGTTTTTCATAACTTTTAAAATTACTGTTTTTTTATTAATATTATTTTTTAAATATCTTATTTGTTTAATATTTTACAAAAAAAGTTATACGTACAATCATAGTATTGTAGATAAGTAATCATCACACAAATTGGATTTGTGAAATGATTTGATAACTTTATTTTACTGAAGATACAAAAGTTTCTATAAGGATAAAATAATTAATTCTTAATCTGAGAACGAAGGAAAGAAAATGTTTATATATATTCTTCTTTTCCTCTCAATAAATAAAGTAAAACTATTAGATCGTTTATATAAATACGTTACATTTTATATCGTGAAATATAAATTCTATATCACACAATTTTTTATATTTAATATGTGAATACTATAAAACAGTTTGCACATTGTATTAAATTTACACAATATTTGTTTTTATGTACAAATATGTGTAATTGTGCACCTAATTCCCAATTTAGGAGAGAACATTTTATATGTACTCAATCTTAGTTATTTTTTGGTCTTTAGTCTAAATAAATAAAATAAATTTATATGTGTATATATAATTTTATTTTAAACATTAATTGTAAAAGTACAAAAATTACGCAACAAATTTGTGTATTGTTTTGCTACATATTTTCTGTAGAACTTACATATGAAATGTGAAATAGTCTATCAGTCTCTCTTAAGTCATCTTAAATATAATTAAAATTTTCAGGTTTATAATTTTTATTAACAATGTTGTTTATCAGTGCTTTTTAATAACTTCAAACTCAATTTTGAATTTTCTTTATATATGTATAAACATCTTCGTATATTTTATTTATCTATACGATAGCAAGGTAATGGGACTACCGTGCGTTACGATATTATATCCTTTTATTGATATAAATGCGATGTGAAAAATATAAAGCTTGTACGATCTCTCGTATTATAAAACACAATTAAAAAACTCGTATAATAGCGCGTCCTATACGTTTATACGGCGTTCTGTGTCGGGGAAGTTATCGAAGTGACCGCCAGAGGCGCCTCATTCGAGAGCGTCGTTCTTTGTCTCGGTTTGGAGCGCAGTCTCCGTCCAACGAAGCGCAGGGCCCGGTTGACAAAATTTCGTGGCGCGCGGCAACAAGAAGAGAGAGAGAGACAGAACGACGGAACGGACGGAACTGAGACGTTCAGTTTATTGAGAGCTCTCTTGGATGACGCGACGCGCACCACGCGGTATGTGAGATCCGACGTGAGAGAGAAACTGCTTTGCCGCGCGAGAACAATCAAATCGGATCGCTCCCTTTGTAAATAAACGTGCGGCTGTGTTATATCGCGTGTATAAATGAGGTGCAAAGTGTGCTCGTGAAGAGAAAAGAAGGAGGAAGTGAAACGAGAAGAGAGGAGTACAGAGGTAGTAGCCGAGGAGGAGGTATCGGAAGTGTGTTGAAGCTACGAGGGCGCGTTTGACAGCACACAAGCGAGTGCTTTTTCTCTCGCCTTCTTCCTTCTATCTCTCTCTTTCGCTGTCTCTCTCTTTCTCTCTCCGCTCGCCAATTGTGCCGAGTGTGCGCGTGTTGGTGACACTGTAGCTCTTTCTCCGGTGTCGTGCGCACGTTTGCGCTCGCGCGGCGTTTTGCATTGTTTGGCCGGCAGCGATACGTTATACTCGCGCGCGGCTGTCCGCTCTGGTACGAGGAAAGGGAGAGGAGGGATCGTCGTTTGATCCGTCATCGTGCACGTCGGAGTGTTCGAGCAAGCGCAAGGAAAATCGAAGAGACGAGACGGAAAACACGAGACAGTGACGCTTGGGGGTGGAGTAATAGTATTGCTGTCATCTTTGTATCCGTGCGATTCCATTCGTTTGTGTGGTAGTGATCATCGTCGTCGTCGTCGTCGTCGTCTTCGTCGTCGTCGTCGTTGATCGTCGCCTTCGGTGTACAGCGCGCGACGGGGGTTGCCGACACAGCCACCGCTGCCGTCGTACCCCCATCGATTGCCGGCCGCCGATTCGCCGGGTACAACAGTAGTAGTAGCAGTACTAGTGGTGCGCGTACAGTGAGACGAAAGAGAAAGAAAAAAATAAAAAAATAAAAAGGAAGTGCTCGTCGCGCGTGTTGCTGCCGTTTACGAGTTTCTTGTATTACGGGTTATCGTAAGTGTACTACCACGGGGTTAACAGTGAATCTCTCGGAGGTGACGCACCGCGCCGACGACGCCGCCGTCGCCGCCGCGACCTTGGAGACGGTGGAGAGTTTCGGAATCGGATACGATCAGGGAGCGGGCGCGAGCACAGGCGACTGGATGAAACCACCGGGGGATTTGTTTCTTTATTGCGACATGAAGGATCTGACGGGAGCCGTGGGAGACATGATGGTATTTGTCATTGTGTTTGTTTTCGTACGTTTGCGATATCGCGCGATATATTGTCATCGTGCGTGATTTCCCCTTGACGACGATGTGCGATGCGATTCGATTCGATTCGATTCGATCGGGCGCTTTGGAAACCGCGCCCGCTTCGCAACGCGCGTCGTCAGGCCGCACCGCGTCGTGGCGTCGTGTCATCTATCCCTCGGCTCGGGGCCTAGCCTATCCTGGCCCTGGTCTAGCCTAGCCTCGTGTACCACGCGCGTCGATCTTTTTCGTCGTCCGTGACTGTACAGGTTATGTTCTTCGCCGAATGTATATATAACGATAACTGTGAACTCTGAGTTTCATGTGTACTTTTTCTATAGTGAAGCAGTCTACACATGCATATACACGACGCACGCACGGGTGCGCGCGCGTATTGTGTCGCGACACAATCGACCTCACTTCCGTTTCGTTTATTCTTTCAATATCTCGAGAGGAAACTCGAGGAGTTGTTAATAAAATGGAGGAGTTCTAGTAAACAATTTATGACGCAACATTTTCTGCTCATTGTAAATTGAACATTATAAATTAATTGCTCTTATTTTATATTCACTTTTACTTTTCTCGCAACGCACGTGGTCTGTTGTCGCAGTACTATACATCACTTTCGCAAAGCAGTAAACAGTGCCAAAAAGTTTCGGTATTGTGGAAAATGTTTTGAAAGAATTCTAGTTAATTATTCAAACGACTTTTGAAATGTAAAACATAAGAAATTGTAATGTCTTATTATTGCAACAGTTGATGAAAGTAATAAGAATTTAACGTAATAATTGATTTGTATAACAATTAGGATCAATTGTTGAAGTGTACGCACAGTGATGCTTGCTAGTAGATATCGAAAACATATTCTTAAAAGTTATATGATTTTTGTAATAAAAAAGCAAACATTTATCGAAACATGATCTTATCTTGAAACTCGCAATGGTAAAATTCTAAACTGGTCAGAGTTGTTTTGAATGTTGTTTAATCGTTCATGTATCCGTGAATATCTTGTTAACCTTCGGTAATTCGGTTATACTAATAGAACACGTTGAATCTTATAACAACGAAGATCAATAGAAATTTAGACTGTATTTCGCGTTTTTTTTTTCTCGGAACAGTTTGCCTTTTTTCTGTTGCTGTTTTACACACACACGTGAAGTTTTTATTAGAATAATGTCCTTGGTTGTGTATATTTACGTAAATCAAATTTGATCGCTTTTAATTCTTCATTGTATGCGTTTTTAAAAAAAAAGAAAAAAAAACGTAAGACCACTTTTTTTTCAGAACACGATCAATTACTCAACAAAATAAGATATGCCAAATAACGTAAAGT